TCTCTCCTTGTCTTTTTGTCTCTCTGTCCCAACGTGGTTCACGAGATGACTTTAGAGCCAATTGGAGGGTGACTAGACTAGATGGAGATTGAACAAAATTTGAGACCAAGAGGGAATAGTGAAAAAGGCTTTCATGCTGCCTTGACCTTCGTTTTTTAAAGAGACGAATACGTGTGGACCTGCCTATCTCTTCAAAGGACTACATGTGACCATGTATATTGTTTTTCTTTATAAAAATTCAAGCATACTTTTGTGATTGTGGCCACCGTCTTGCGATGTATGATAGTATCTACCTAAGTCCTTATGTTAGGGTGGAATGTTAATGGAACATTAAAGGGAAAGCTCCAACCATGGAAGAGTGATTGGAAAGAGATTTAAAATAACGTATTTTTATTTGGTCCACTCATATGCTATCTTCTCAAGATATTAATACGTGGACTTATATAATGTCTCTTCAAATGACTATATGCGAACACGTTTTCTTATTTTTTATTTTTTATTTTTAATTTGAGCATATACTTTAATTTTTTTCTTCTTGCATTGATAACATGTTGTGGAGGACTATTAGATGTAGAGAATCGTAGGACACCCTCTGGAGATTGAAGAATCCGTCATGGATGGAGATCAACTGAAGATGGGTAAACCTCACTCTCTGATAATCTAGTTCCATTAATGAGAAGTTCCAAAGAAAATGTTGAAGGAATTAAAGGAACCTCCAACCCATTCTTTTTAGAAAGTATATCTTCATATTTGGGGATGCAATATACAGGAAATTTTCAAATTGCAGCTATTTATAATTTGATTGAATATGTAGATTTTTCATTTTTAAATTCTTTAAGTCATGACAATCCCATACCTTAAAATCTTCTCATTTCCACTTTTTTTTCTCTTAATTTTAACTCTCAAAATTTATGGAGAAAATGTCTTTGACCAAATAAAATGCATTATTTTTAAAAATAGTTTCACACATGAAATATTTTAAAAAATAGTATATTTTTTTAAAAGAAAAGAATCCTTATATTATATTATATCGTGGTTTGGGATTTGACCATATAATTAATTTTTCATCTTAATCGAAGACGTGAGACAAAAGAAAGATTATTCTATGTCTTATAGGGAGAAAATAGAGATTAGCTAAGCAACCGAAAAGAGGAAAGAGAGTCGAAGAAGGAGCGACTTGGAGGGAGGTAAGCGGGTCGGGGCTCATCGACCCAAACTGACCGTGGCCGACCCGGGGTCGGCGCCGAGTAGTGAGTGGTCGAGAACCTCTCGAGTGATTCCCGATCCCTATGCAAGCCCAGTCCGAGTCAACTTGGTCTCAGCCTTGAATAGTACAGCGTGAGGCCCATTCTATGATCAAGGACTTGACGAATGTAAACCATAAGAGGATTAGGGTTCAACCTACCAACGAATGGTGAATCGGATGTTTGCAGCCTTAATTAATCGGCAAAAATATGGAAGTCTACGTAGACGACATGTTGGTAAAGAGTCGAAAGAACGAGCGACACAAGAGCATTTGGCATGAGCATTCGACGTTTTGCAAAAGTACAAGATGAAGCTGAATCCCACCAAAAGGGAATCGAAGCCAATCCAGATAAGATCAAAGCTGTTCTGGAGATGAATCCACCTAGAACTCTAAAGCAGCTACAGGGATTCAACGGAAGGATAGCAGCACTCAACAGATTTGTTAGCCGTTCAATTGACAAGTGCCTGCCATTCTTCAAAATCCTGAGGAAGAAAGGGCAATTTGAATGGACGGAAGAGTGTGAAGCTACCTTTAAGGAGCTGAAGCAGTACTTGGGGGCAGCCCCATTCCTCTCAAAGCCGATCGTGAGTGATGAACTCTACTTATACTTAATTGTATCCAACACTCCAGTGAGTTCCGCTTTGATAAAGGAAGAAGATGGACGACAGTCTCCAATCCACTACACAAGCAAAGCAATGGTAGATGCAGAGGTTAGATACCCGCAAATGGAGAAGCTGGCATTAGCACTGGTCGCTAGGGCTCGGAGACTACGCCCGTATTTCCAAGCTCACAGAATAATTGTCCTCACCAACTTTCCCTTATGACAGATCTTGCAAAGGCAAGACACTTCTGAGCGACTGGTAAAGTGGGCTGTGGAGCTCAGCGAATACGACATGCACTATAAGCCAAGAACTGCCATGAAAAGGCAGGCCATGGCAGACTTTATAGCAGAATTAACACCAACAGAACCTCAAGTATATAGTATCGACCCACAATGACTCCTCGGTCAGGTGAAAGAGGAGTTCCAGGCTAGAGAACTGCGAATGGCGAAATACCTTTCACAGGTAAGAAACCAGCTCAACCAGTTCTTAAAATATGAGATTCGACAAATTCTACGAGCTCAAAACGTCAACGCAGATGCGTTAGCTCGACTAGCTACAGCTTATGAAATCGACCTAGGAAGAGCTGTACCAGTTGAGATTCTACCCGAGCCAAGTATAGAAGCTTAGAAAGCAATGGATATCGAGGAACAAGGGCAACTAGAAGAAAACTGGATGAGCCTTTTGATCAAATATTTGAGAGATGGGATCCTGCCTACTGAAAAGATAGAGGCCTAGCAGCTACAACGATGAGCAGCCAGATATGTGCTTAAAGATGACAGTCTGTACAAAAGAGGTTACTCGTTGCCGCTTTTAAAATGTCTAACGCCCGACGAAGCTGACTACGTCATGAAAGACATACATGAGGGCGTTTGTGGGAGCCATACTGGAGCACGATCCCTAAGTCACAAAATAGTTCGACAAGGGTACTACTGGTCGACCATGCTGAACGACACGAAGCAATTCACGAAAAAATGTGACACATGCCAACGGTTTGCAACAGTACCTAGGCAACCGCCAGAGCCTCTAACAAGCATAATGAGTTCTTGGACCTTTGCTCAGTAGGGAATAGACCTTATAGGGCCCCTCCCACTAGGAAAGGGCTAGACCAAATGGCAGTCGACTATTTTACTAAATGGGCCGAAGCCAAAGCCCTAGCTACAATTATTGAGAAGAAGGTCATCGACTTCATCTGGAAGAAGATAATTTGCCACTTTGGAATACCCTACACCATTATCAGTGATAATGGGAAGCAGTTCGACAATGCTGCCTTTCGAGAATTTTGCAGGGAGTTGGGCATTAAGCATATCTATTCCTCGCTAGCACATCCGTAGGCTAATGAGCAAGTTGAAGCAGTCAACAAAATCATCAAAAGAACTCTGAAGACCAGATTATAAAAGTTCAAAGGGATGTGGGTAAAGGAATTTCCCAATGCATTATGGGCCTACAGAACAACACCTTGTACTTCAACAGGAGAAACACCGTTTTCACTATCATTTTGACTCTGAAGTGGTAGTACCAGTCGAAATTGGACTCCCCTCCCCAAGGGTAGAGTAGTTCAATCTACTTGACAACAACAAATCCGTACAACTCAACCTCAACCTATTAGAACATCAAGAAACAGCACGACTACGAACGGCTGAATACAAAAATCGAATAGCTCGCTACTACAACTCGAAGGTTAAGAAACGTGACTTTAAAAAAGGCGATATGGTGTTAAGAAAGATTATACCTAATACCAAAGATTCAACTAGCGGGACGTTCGGGCCAACATGGGAGGGCCCATACAAAGTCACTAAAGTAGTGCGAACATACACTTATGCTCTAGAAGACCAACATGGGAAGGCCTTACTACACCCATGACACGCTCAGCACCTCAAAAGATACTGCCACTAGTTCAACATATTTCTAGATATTTTTATGTCTTTCCATTATTTGGAGCAACTAACATTGTTGTAACTAAATCTTCGACAGGACGATCTTCCTACTAATAAAGTTTTCGACATTCGACGTGATACTTGAGTTTTTATGTTAATTCTGAAATAAATTTCTCAAGTAGGGGGCATCATATGAATATCTACATATCTACGACCAGTCAAGAAACTCAAAATTGGGACGGACCTAGAAGCAAGCCAAACAGGCAAAAAGCCAGTAATGGCTTAGCATGGTCAAAACTAAAGCAGAAAAATATAGGATATAAAATTGTTTGGCATAAAAAGCCAGGCAAGTTAGAAATCCAGAGGTATCGACATTAGTTCTGTTAAAGTTAGATCCCAAAGCCAAAAGTAAATGGTTTAAACTCAGATGAGAATAAAACCAGGCTCTGGAGACTTGATTGTGGTCAACGAAAATTGGAAAAAATTTCCAATTCATGAATAGTATCGACAAGCTCAAGGCCCAAAACCAGTGGCAGGAACCAAGCAGCTAAAATCCAAAATTGGATCAAAAGCTTTTGGTAGAAGCCTTGTGCGTTAGAAACATTGACATTATTAGCCACTGATATACATATAAATTAGGCTATGTTATAGAATGATCTTGCGGTAACGACAAGCGACAGGTACTCTCAAAACAAAGATCTTGACACAATTATTCGTCTTCTATTTTGAGAGTGGGGGCCATTGCTATAGAGAACAAAAACGACCCAAAACGAGACAAGTAGTTGAAGCCCGAGATCATTAACTAGGGGAGACCGGCCAACGACGTAACGGGCCGGCCCATAGGACGACCTAATGCCGGCGCCAACCCCACCTCGGTGCCGAGGTGCCTACTTCTCACCTTTGCCTTTGGGCCAAGGTACTATGTGGGCATCCTCCGCTCGGATCTACATCAGTAGGTTAAGCATACCTATTCAGGGCCGTAACTCCAAATTAGGGCTCGACTAGAGAAGGTTCTGAAACCACCCTCACATCTATAAATAGCAGTGCAGCCTAACCCTATGGAGGCAAGTGACTTATCTTTAGCTCACTGTTTTCTCAACTCTCCCTTGCTAACTTAAGCATCGGAGCCTGTGTGACTGAGGTCACACCGATTTAGATCGTTTTGGTTTTGCAAGTATCGGTTCCCTTATCATCGAGTTAGGTGTGTACGAGAAGAAGAATCAGAGGGTCAAAATCCACGCATCAACACAAACAAATACAAAATGTTGAAGAACCAAATTATGATAAATTTCATTTTTTTTATGTTAGTTGTCTTCCAGAGACAAATTGATCATACATGAACTTGAAGAATAAAAGGTAGTTTTTTTTTTTCTTTTTTTACCTGCAAAGGAAAGTAGCAATTTTATTAAAGCATAAACTATGAACCAAAAGTTGAAAACATCCATTTAATGGGTCAATCAGACATTCTTCCAAAGCTCATATCTCAAAACATCTCATGTCCCTCCTTCGTCCACCAAGGTAACAGAGAAGGAATGCTCTGCTCATGCCTAAAGAAATTATAAGGATCAACCTTAGTTTTTATGCTCACCAACCTCTTAAAATTACCCTTGAAGTATCTAACTCCCCATATACTTGCTTGCTCATAGCTCGTGTACCCATTTTTGTTGTTTGTTCCAACATCTAGGTCTCGATAATTGACATATAGAGTCCTCGGATTTTTTGAAACGAAAGGAGTTAAGTAATCATAAAACTTATTGATCCAACTAATATGTCTCTGTGCAATATCTTCGCCTCCTCCCCAAGACACTGTATAATGGATTTTGTAAAGATTTCCAGCCCTATGTGGAAAGGCAATCTCTGATTCAGAAATCTTGTTCATTGTTCCACCGTAAGGTATAATATCTAATTGTGCAAATTGGAGTCCTTCTTCGTTTAACAATTCCCATATACCCTCAAGCCCAGCTTTGGAGATTGGCTCCTCTACATAGTCGGATTTGCCTTTGTAGCTGCCCTTGAGAGCAAAACCCCTATCGAGAAGGGTATTTGGCTGATCTAAAGGTAATTTCGCAAAATAGAGAACCGATTCAATCCAGCTCATTTCTATACAATCTTCTTTCGTCACCCTTAGCTCAGGAAAAGTCTTTTGCATGATGGAAAGAAGCTCTTCGTCTCTTCCAAGGAAAAAGGCTTTAAAAGTTGCTGTTAGAACTATCCCTTTTTCATTTTGCTGGTTGCTCGAGTCCATGGCATCTAATAAGATTCTGAGGATAAGTCGCTCGTCTTGTTTACTGGCCACGTATTGCCATTTATGGACTAGATCGGTGGCATTTTGTTCCAAGTTTTTTGTGATTTTGAAAATAGTCACCACTGGTGGAACTGGGACGAGCTTTATTTTCCATGCTAGAACAATTCCAAAGCTTCCTCCTCCTCCTCCTCTAATGGCCCAAAACACATCTTCCCCCATTGATTTCCGGTCGTGGAGCTTACCATTGGCATCAATAAAGTAAGCATCAATCACGTTATCGGCAGCGACACCAAATTTTCGTATCAACAAACCGTAGCCACCGCCACTAAAGTGCCCGCCAACGCCGACTGTCGATGAAAGCCCAGCTGGGAACCCTAAGGTTTTACTTTTCTCTGCAATTCTGTAGTAGAGCTCGCCGATAGTGGCTCCAGATTGCACCCATGCGACGTTTTTTTCCACATCGACATCGATTGACCGAAGGTTTATCAAATCAACAATGAGAAAAGGAGCGTCAGAGAGATACGAAAGACCCTCGTAGTCATGGCCACCACTTCGTATTCGTACCTGAAAGCCATTATTTTTTGCGCAAATGATGGAGGCTTGAATGTGGGAAGCTTGAAATGGAGTTACGATTATTTGAGGATTTGAGTCATCCAAGAATCTTAGGTTCTGGATTGTGAAGTTCAGAACTGAAGAGTACAAAGGATCCCTTGGAGTGTAAATAATGTTTGAAATTGAATCAGAGCTATTGGGAGAATGAAGAGAAAAACAATGGATAAAACCTTCACGGTTGAAAGCAGAAGCCAGCGATGCAAAAGACAAGACAACAAAAATATAAGCTAAGGAGGTAATTGTAGACTTCATGTTTGGTTTTGTGTTTTGGCAATGGATGAAAGGTTTTATTTATATTGTAAAAGAGGCAGCTCTGAGAGACATTTTTTTAAGGATTCTTCAGCTTTGGGGTGGGAAAGCTTTCTGATTGGCAGAGCCTTTGTTTGGATTCCCTCTTCTATCTTGGATAAAGAGACTGGCCCATTTCCTTTTTTTTTTT